CGTCTGCCAGCCTGGTAGAAACACTATTCAGATCACTGTCACCGCCTGCTGCTGTGTGAGTCACCAGGAGGGTACCAGGAGAGGGAGGGTGGTGGCTGGGGCCACAGCTCAGCCTCCCATCTCTCCACAGTCCCACCTGTTCGTCCTGCAGCTGGTGCATCGGCCCTCGGTGCGCTCAGTGCTGCAGGGGCTCATCAAGAAGCGCCTGCTCCCCGCTGAGCACTGCATCACCAAAAGTGAGCACCTGGGTCTGGGGAGTTAGGATGCACTGTGGCAGGGAGGCCACAGCAGCATGGGGGTGATGGTGCAGTATTGCCCAGGTACCACCATCATGCCAGGGTTCTGGTTCTGACCCTTGGTGCCCCCACCTTCCCAGTCAAGCGCAACTTCAGCAGTGGGACTATCCCGGGGACACCAGGGCCCAATGGTGAGGATGGCGTGGAGCAGACAGCCATCAAGGTGTCCCTCAAGTGCCCTATCACCTTCCGGAGGATCCAGCTTCCAGCCAGGGGTCATGACTGCCGGCACATACAGGTAGGGCGTGGTGATGACAGGGTGCTGGGGGTATCCCCTACCCAGTATCCTGCTTCCTGCATCTCAGCTGCTCTTCCCACAGTGCTTTGACCTGGAGTCGTACTTGCAGCTCAACTGTGAGAGGGGGACATGGCGGTGTCCTGTCTGCAAGTGAGTGGGGTCCACAATGGGGCCATGCCCTGGTGTCTCTGCCTGAAGGGTATGGGGTGTGTTTCACTACCTGTGGGGGATGTATTTCCTGCCCTGGGAGAGGAGTATTTCTTGCCTTAGGGGGAGGCTCCTGTCTGGTGGGGATTCTCTTACCTCACTCTGTTCTCACTCTGCCCACAGTAAGACAGCCCTGCTGGAGGGGCTGGAGGTTGACCAGTACATGCTGGGCATCCTGATCTACATCCAGAAGTAAGTGCCTTCCTTTGGCTGTCTGTCCATCCGTGCCTGGTCCTGTGCCAGCCCTTGGGGGCTGTGCAGCGAGGGCTCCCAACCTCACCTCTCCTGTGCTCCTGCTGCCCCCAGTTCAGAGCATGAGGAGATCACCATTGACCCGACCTGCAGCTGGAAACCCGTCCCTATCAAACCTGATGTCCACATCAAGGAGGAGCCGGAGGGGCCAGCGCTGAAGCGGTGCCGGACACTCAGTCCTGCGCACATGGTGCTGCCCAACATCATGGAGATGATTGCGGCCCTGGGGCCTGGCTCTGCGCCCTTCCCGGCATTGTCACAACCTCCAGCAGGGGCTGCCACCGACTATGGCACCCCGGGTACGGGGGGGATCCATGGGGGACAGGACTGAACTCCATCCCTGTGTGTGTGTCCCCCAATTGCCCCATTTCCTCTCACAGGTTCCAGCTTTCTGGGTCCTGGGGGCTTCCCAGAGCCTTTTGCTGCCGCTGGTGTCCCTGGCACCTCAACACTGAGTGACTTCACGCCAGGCCCCTCCTCCATCTCCTACCAGCCCAACATCCCAGGCAGCCTTCTGGCCCCTGAGAAGCCTCCTGTGCCCCCTCTGCCTGCACAGGTGAGCTGTGCTATGGGTGGAGAGACTCCCCCCAAGCCCTCATCTCTCACTCTGGGGGGGCTGGGGTGTCCCAGGGGAGGGAGGATCTCATGGCTATGCTCTTTCCCCCCGCTGCCCAGCTTCCCCCTCCAGGACGAATGGAGCCGTCCCACCCCGCAGTGCAGACGGGGCTGCACAGTGCTCCCTCGGGCAGCCAGCCGAGCTCCACGCTGCACTCCCGGGGTGCAGTGGTACGGCAACCCCTGGGACCCCCGGCCCACGCTGCCGACCTCGTCTTCCCCCCCGCACCCAGCATGGCCGCGGCGGGTGATGGTTCGGAGGCTACCCTCGACGTGAGTACTCAGGGGGGTGGACAAGGGTCCTATTGGTGGCTCGGGACCCCAGCTGCTGTGGGGGGGTGGGCAGAAGCTGCAGGGAGCTGATCATCACACGCTGCCGTCTCCAGCTCCTGCCCGAGCTGACGAATCCTGATGAGCTGCTCTCCTACCTGGGGCCCCCCGACCTGCCCAGCAGCAGCAACGATGACCTCCTCTCTCTCTTCGAGAATAACTGAGCCATCCTCGCCCTCCTCCCGGGGCTGGGGGGCAGCACTGTGTGCCCCTGCCTGCTGCAGAGCTGGGACCCCCTACAGCGGGGGCTTTCTCAAAGGGCTGCGATGGGACAGAGGGGCTGAGCCCCCCCAGAAGCACAAGGCTGTACATAGTGTAGAAACACTACTGCTCCCCTGAAACTCCCCATATTTAAAGGCAAGTGTGTCACAGCGGGGCTGCCCGTGCCCCCCATCAATGTGCAAATGCTGCTGTCCCTTATACCGCACGGGTCTGGTGTGGGGTGTAGCGCTCAGCTCCCACTGCCGCCGCGCCGGGTTGCCCTGTATGTCCCCGATGGCTATTAAAGGATCCTTCTGCAGGGTCACGCGTGTCCCCCCATCTTTTGTCGTCCCGCTGTGGGGCTGGCCCCGCGACCCAGCTCTGAGCGAGCAGCGGAGGGTCTGGGGTGGCTGGAGGATCCAGCCCTCTCTCCGAGCAGAGGGGGGAGGGTGTGTCCCGAGTAGCGAGGGGATCCTGCCCTATCCCCGAGCAGCGGCGGCCGGGCCGGGCGGTGAACCGGGCCTGTGGCGTCAATCATTAACCGGGGCTGGCTGGGCGGTGCTGCGGTCCGACGGCGGAGGAGGGGAATCGGTGTCTCCCCACATCGGGCGGTAGGCTGCCAGGGCTGGGCCGCAGCTCCGGCAGCTCCAAGCCCCACACGCCCTGGTGCCGCCGCATCCCCGCAGCCCGGAGCTGCCCCGCGTCCTGGCCCCGCGCCGCCGCCGCCGCCGCCGCCGCCGCTCCCGCCCCATCCCGCCGCTCCTTGCTCTCCGCACGGCGCATGCGCGCCGCGCCCTGCCCAGCGCCGGACCGCGGCCCCCGCCCCGCCCGCGCTTTTTTCCCCCCTTCCCCCCTTTTTCAAACCGGCGCCGCCGATTGGTTGCGTGCCCTGCCACTCCGCCACTCCACCAGCGGCCGTTGGCCGGCGCTGTGGGGGAGGCGGGGCCCTCCTCCACCCTATATAATGGGCGGCGGGGAACTGCGCTCCTTCTGCTGCGCCGCGCCTGCCGCTTGGACGAGTGTCTGCTGTTCCGCTCGTGTCTCGCCATGGCCAACCCTGTCGTCTTCTTCGACATCGCCGCTAATGGCGAGCCCCTGGGTCGCGTCACTTTCGAGGTGGGCGCGGGAGGCGACTGAGGAGGGGCGGGGGGCGCTGGTGCCATTTCCTTGCCGGGCGCGCGGGGCCGGTGGGGGGCCAGCCCGCGCCGCGCGTGCGCGGCGGGGGCGCGTTGGTGTGGCTGCGGGGCCGCGGCGCCCCCGGCCCGGCGGGGCGAACAAAGGGCCCCGGAGCGGCGGCGCGGTGCCAGCCCAGGGCGCGCCATCGCCGACGGGAATCCGTCCGCACCTGGGCCGCTACCGCTGCTTCCCCAGTACCGCTGGCGTCGCCACCGCCGTGTTCCCGCCGCGACTCCGCTCCGCCCTGGGGCCGGGGGGGCGCGGCAGTCCCCCCTCCCCCCCCCACTGCGGGTCGCGGCTGTGGCTGCTTCGCCGCCATTTTATCGCAAGGCCCCCGGAGCATCGGGATGAGCCGTGTCGGGCTCCCGGGCAATGCTGCCCGAGTCCGGGGATGCTGGCGGAGGGTGCTGGCAACCTGATCACCGCGGGATTGTCGCTGGAGGGCAAAGCATTTATCACCCCGCCCGGGGCGCGGAGCATCCCTGGCGCGGCTGGGCCTCCTCCGGGCGCCGCGGCCGCTGCAGATTCGAGGCCGCGCTCCCGCACTGGTGGCGCATCCAGCCGAAAATCCTCCTGAAGCGTTGGGAGGCGGCGCGCGCGCCCCGCCCAGGAAGGCTTCAGGCACATTAATGTTTAATTTAATTCAGGCCAGCGGAACGAACACTGATCTGCCCCGCTGGTGAGATGTGCGATGCCACAGCTGTTAGTTCAGAGCTTGCAGATAACAGTGTAATGCGGGAGGAATCTAGAGCTGCTGGCATGGCTGAGAAGCAAGCCCACACCCAGAGGGTGTCCCTAGGCTCTGAGCAGTGTCTGGGGGGGATGGATCCCTGCAGTGTGGAGGTGGCCTCGGGGTGTGGGGGACAGTGGCCAGTCATCAACCCAGATTTGACAAATGCCTTTCCTGTCTTCACAGCTGTTTGCAGACAAGGTCCCGAAGACAGCAGGTTGGTAAAGCAATTTTGGCTGCACTGCAGCTGCACCAAGCCCTAGTACTGTTCTGAACTCTCAACAAATAAAGTTTTTCATGGTGGGGTTTTATTTCCTTTGCAGAAAACTTCCGTGCTCTGAGCACTGGTGAGAAGGGCTTCGGCTACAAGGGGTCCTGCTTCCACAGAATCATTCCTGGGTTCATGTGCCAGGTGTGTGGTGCTCCTGCTGCAGTGGGTGGGTGGTCAGGCAGGCTGGCACTCAGCTGGGTGTTGGAGTTGGATACTGGTAGATTTTGGGTGAGAGGTTGCACCCAGTTCCAGAGTGTTCGCTCCCATGACCTGAAATGCTGCCTTTTCACAGGGTGGTGACTTCACACGCCACAATGGCACTGGAGGCAAATCCATCTATGGGGAGAAGTTCCCAGATGAGAACTTCATCCTGAAGCACACGGGTCCTGGAATTCTGTCGATGGCCAATGCTGGCCCCAATACGAACGGTTCTCAGTTCTTCATCTGCACTGCCAAGACTGAGTGGTGAGTCGTGGGCTATGGGAGGAGAAGCTTGGGGTTCTGCATCTGGGAGATGTCCTCTGTTGGGGGATATCGGGGGCCGGCTGTTACTGGTGCTTCTCTGGCAGGCTGGATGGCAAGCATGTCGTCTTCGGCCGCATCAAGGAGGGGATGAATGTGGTGGAGGCAATGGAGCGCTGTGGCTCCAAAGATGGCAAAACAAGCAAGAAGATCACCATCACCGACTGCGGGCAGCTCTCGTAAACCCTTCTCTCAGCAACTGACCATTCCTTGAGCAGCCTGGGCCCCACACCCCACTGCAGCTCACCTGCTCCCACCCCAATCCTGATGTACTGCTGCGTTTCTACTGGGTCACGGTCCCACTGGGCCGCAGTTACCTTCAAGTCTAAATAAAACGAGTTAAACTACACACACCATAGCAGTCCCCTTCTGTCCCTAGCTGGGGAGGGCAGGGTTTGGCGCTGGTGGAGGAAAAATAAGATATTGAGGGGGCAGGAGGGCCCCTGTCAGTGGGGTGGTTACACCAGCCCCCCCAGTAGGATCCAGAGTGAAGAGAGTAAGCTGGTCTGGGCACTGAACTGATCCATGGGGGTCCTTACTGCTTCTGCTGGTTCTGTTCCTTTGCCCACTGCACTGCACTTGTAAGTGTGGGAGCAGCAGTGACACCCACCTTGGGGTGCCTTGTAGGTCTGTTTCAACAGGTGACATTTTGCAGAGCTAGTGTGGGTTGTCCTGGGAAGATGAGGATGACAGTTTTTCCAGTAAGGGAGAGTTCCAGTCTGCAATCTTCCTGTTAAGGCCAACCTAGTTTGGAGGTGGTTCTGTGTCACGTTGTATCCCAGTGGTCCCTGTTGGGGGATGCTGGTCCTAGCTTGGGGGGTGCTCAGCTCTAAGAATACCAGGTTTGCCACAGTTGCAGTTGGCAATTGGGTACTCGGTGCACCCAGTTCAAGGCTGGGTGCCCAGTTCCAGGGTGATTCCAGTGCTTCCAGTTAAAAGGTGCTTGGATGGGAGTAAACTCTAGGACCCTGTGGGTCCAGCAAGGTAAGGTCTGGACCCTTGCCCCCTTTTACAGTACACCTGAAGGGTGCTAAACTCCCATCCCCTGGACCTGGACCTGCACCACCACATCCCATGTGTGGGCTCTACCTTGGATGGGACCCTGGTGTTGGTGAGGTGACCCTGCAGTCCTGGTGGCGCAGCCCACAGGGTCCAAGGGGAAGATGAAGCCAGCAGCAGCTTCTGCCCAGTCCTCACTGTCCAGAGTCTCCAGGGCTGGGCACCCCCGGGCTGCAGAGTAGAGGAGGCATTGGGGGGGGGGGGGGGGGGTCTTTGGTGGTGCATTTGAGGCAAGGCAGGGGAAATTTTTCTGCGAGGCACCGAGGCAGTGCGGGGGAAAGCTTTTCTTTGATGCACCAGGCAGACCCTGGAACACCAAACCTCACCCTCAGAATCCCCACAAACTCTCTGGCACCCTCCAACCCCCTCCAGACCCCCTAAATCCACCCTAGGTACACCCGAGTGACTGGGACCCCCATCCCGCCTGGGACCCTTCAACCCCCATTAGATGCCCCCAAATCTTCCCCAGGATCCCCCCAGACACCTCACCAGACCCCCTAGGGTCCCTCGCCACCCTCTGGATCCCCCAAATCCACCCTGAGATGTGCAAACATCTGCTGAGAAGTCCCCGGGACCTGCAAAATCCACCCTGGGCCCCCCAGAAACTCCCTGGGACCCCTGCTACACAAAGCCCCCCCCCCTCCACACTGTTCCAGCCCATGTCCTTGCCTTCCCCCCACCACATGGTGGCCTTGTCCTCCCTCAGTGTCCTTGTGTACCTCCTGATGTCCTTGTGTCCACCCATCCCCCAGAGGCCTCCCAGCCTGGATGTCCCCTGTGCCCCTTCCCCTGCAGTGGTACTGTCTCCCTGTCCCATTTGAGGGTCCCTAGATGGCTGTCTCTGTGCCCCCACATGTCATTGTGGTTCCCCTTTCCCCACAGTGGATGTCCCCAGGAGTTGCCCTCCAAATGTCCATGCACAGGATATCCCCAAGATGTCAGTCCCTTGTCCCCAGGGTGTCCCTGTCCAGTGTGTACCAGTCCCTGGGCTGTCCCCCCAGTCTC